TGAATTGGAAGAAAACTGAGCACTACAAAACTCATCTTACTTCAAAGATATTGGTTTTCTTAAGTTATACGAACCAACTAAAGGAAAATCGATTGAAAAATCCAAGGAACCGAAGTTCCGTTTCAATCATGTTCCCTGAAGTTTATTTGTTCATTGGGGTTGGTTATATCGCCAAAACAATGGTCAAAAAGGTATCATATATATTAAAACGAGACAGGTTTTTTTTTATTTCACGATTCTAAATCAACCCCTTTACTGATTTGGAATTTTATGGTTTTTGTGTTAGAAGAACGATAATTCTCAGAACTAGCGTATGTCAAGGCCATAATTTTATTTTCAGGTTTCATTTTTTTAAAATAAAATACACTAAAAAATACAGGGTGTCCCATAATTCTCTGGACACATGTATAAAGCGTTATTGCTTAGGTCAAAACAAACCCATTTCACCATAGGAACCTGGGTATGTGGTGCCTAGTTTTCCGTCTGTCTGTATTTATGTGTGTTTTTTACAAAAACAATAATAACTCCAAAAATGTTTAAGATACAGCGTTAAGATTTTGCAAAAATGTTTATCTTATTAAGACATATCTTTGTTTAAATTTATACTAAACAATCATTAACCGTTTAGTATGTTTGATGCCAAATTTCACGAAAACCATTAACTTAACAAAAAAATTATTGCAATAGACAAAATGTTAGTAAATTTTATGTAGTTTTTAATGATGCCTTATTTGTTAATAATGGATAAATAACAACAGAGAAATTTCTTCTTTTCCAAATGCATGACCACTTTTCTCCATTTAAACAATGCTAATACTCCCTTTACGTTGTTTAGCATTGTTTAAATGGAACAATACTATCGGGTATGGCTGATGGTCAGTGTGCGGGATCACAATATATCTTGCAGGTCTGGGCTGCAATTCCGCTTATCACAAACTACATATTATGATGGTAATATGGGACAGTAATTTGGGATATACATACATATCGGTTTACATACCGGGTAACCTCTTAGAGGAGAATTTGTCTCAGTTTTATTTATCTGCCTTCACCAAAAACCCACAGGATGATAATTGATTTAGTTTTATTTCAAGTCAGACTTAATTTTTAAGTGGCTTTGTAAAACACTGCAATCGTGTTTGTAAATAATATAATGTTGTTTTTTTATATTTTTGGTATCCTTTTGTAATGTCGCATATTTGCGACGCCCACTCTATAGGGAAGAAAATATTGAAAATTATTATATTTTTCTTTAAATAGCCCAAACGCCACATACAGTATATGTGACAGTTCATTTTTGTTTATTATGAAGGAAAAGTAAGTAAAAAAAACAAAAAAAAACAGATGATTCAAGAACGGTTTATATTTGAACAAAAATAAAAGCTTCATAGAGTAATGCAGCATACATACTGCATACATACATACAGTGATTCAGAAAAGTAAAGATCTGTTTGTCCAACGTCATTATGACGTCACCAATCATCATATCCACAGACACATACCAAGCGACGCAGTTGTACGTCAGACATCTCTGTAGACCACTGCAGATAATTCAGTGCCTTCAAATGGACCGTTACAAAGATATAAGTATTTGATAACATTGGAACACAGACGCAAATATGCGACGGCAGTCTAAGGGTAGAAACCGGCCGTCGCATATGTGCATCGGTGGTCTATATGAATGAAAAATTTTGTATCATTGCGGTAGCGAACATGTAATAATTTAATGCTAAATTTACACAAAACTCATTAAAATCAGAAAATCTGATATTAACTAAGCCACTTAAACATGTATGATTGACATTTAGTATGTTTTAGTATGTCCTAATAATTTCAAACAAAATTGAAAACCCAAAACACTCTGGAAAGTCCGTTTGTTGACGCTGTACCGTTTATTTGTCTTACACAATTGTTGGAAAAACTGACAAAAGGAAACGATAATCTATATATTTAATACACAGTTGTAACACTGTTTTCTCAGTAATTACTGGACCGATCTACAAGATTTATGTCTCAAATTAAAGGGGATAGTGTGTAGATTTGCCGAACTTCCTTAGAATTTACGTTTTTTCTAAGGGCTACGACCTACAGCCCTTTAAAGGTCGAGTCAATACAATTCTTATTGAAGAATATAAAATACACAGTTTATAAATTATTTGTCAGCTGTTTAATGTTTGTCAGACATTTGTTATAATTTTTATAACCTCACTTTCAGTATGCAATTATTAAACTTGGAGTTTCTGTTTATAAACACACGATTTTGATGAAGGAAAGTGTATTTGTTAACTTATTTTTGAAATGTTTTAGTTTTTCTGCAAAGTGATCTGAAGGAAAGTGGTAATTGAGTTTAAGTTTGAGTATGGAATGTGAAATAATACCCATAGTAGGGAACGGAAACTTATTGTTTTGATCAATTTTAATTTATTCTCTACGGCCACCAGAATAATCATGGGGAAATCTGCTTGCAAGTTGTACATATAACTGCTAATGAGTGGGAAACATACAAACATTTTATAGTAGGTGACGAATCTTACTCAATATCAGTGTTAGACGTTCAGTGGTACCAAACTATACCTTCTTGAGATTGCGAGTACGCTGGGATACGTGGAACTACTATATATCAGTGATTTTTTTTTTCAAGTACACAGGGAAGTTGCTTGAGAAACTGTGACTTACCATTCGGTTCTGGCGAAGAAGTATGTGACTTGATGTTTAATGGCAATGTTGACTCGGGTCATTATAGCGTTATAAAACTGAATCATTAACCCCAGGATGTGAAAAGTACAAAAAGAAATAGAAAAGGTATTAATCATTAACCGGGCATAAAGAGACATACCGAACGAAAAAAATATCTATAGAACCATCGAACTAAAAAGGTAAAGAGCAGTGTTGGTGTTAAATGTGCTCTGGAAGTCCCTACAAAAAATACCAACTCTTTTGAATTGGGGTCGTTAGATTGGATTTGTCACTACTTCAAATCTATGAATTTCGAGTCAGAACAGACTAACTGGGACACAAAAATGTTTTAGTTTTCCTGCAAAGTGATCTGAAGGAAAGTGGTAGTTGAGTTTAAGTTTGAGTATGGAATGTGAAATAATACCCATAGTAGGGGACGGAAACTTATTGTTTTGATCAATATAATTTATTCTCTATAGCCACCAGAACAATCATAGGGAAATCCGCTTGCAAGTTGTACAGATAATTGCTAATGATTGGTAAACATACAAACATTTTTTCGTAAGTGATAAATCTTACTCAAGATCAGTGTTCGACGTCCAAATTTTACCTTCTCGAGATGGCGAGTACGCTGGGATATTTGGAACTACAATTTATCAGTGAACTATACCCTAACTATATTTTTTCGAGTAGGCCTACACAGGGAAGTTGCTTGAAAAACTGTGACTTACGATATCGGTTCTGGCGAAGAAGTATCTGACTTGATGTTTAATGTCAATGTTGACTCGGGTCATTATAGCGTTATAAAACTTTATCATTAACCCCAGGATGTGAAAAGTACAAAAAGAAAAAGAAAAGGTAATCATTAACCGGGCGTAAAGAGACATACAGAACAAAAAAAACTATGTAGAGAACCATCGAACTAAAAAGGTAAAGAGCAGTGATGGTGTTAAATGTGAGTTTATAGAAAATCTTATCAACAGCGACTATAAAAAAAGTATTAAGGGTCAAAAGAGACAAAAAACTATTTGAGTAAAATAAAAAAGACCTTTAATTTGATGTGCATATTGACCTATGCTTCCATTTAAGATTTTCTTCCGACTCCTTTGTGGGCCGTCCCCCTGAAGAATTATTGGATCACTGAATATGTGTTAAAATAGAGTTTTATGCCCTGTAACTTTGTACCAAGTATTTTAGCTCTATCTGCATTATTTTTTAAAATATTTAACCGTTCCGGGACTTTTCTACCACACGCTATAATACAAATTGCGTATTAAATAAGTACCTATAGAATCTGCATTTGAAATGGCCAGTTCTAAGTCTCACTTGAATCAACATCTTTCTACATAGTTTTAAAATCCACGACTCCTTTTCCATCAAATTGGACCGTTAATACCCTCTAACATTGAACAAAGTATGCCCAACTTTATATATATACGACGTAAACACAGCTTTTACTCACAGTATGGGTCAAAGATTCGTGAAATGCGACCAACTGCTGATGTGTGATTTACATGTAGGCTAAGTGACTATCTTTATTCCATACAACAAATGTAATGAAAAAAAAAACATACAAATATAGGAATATACTTGAGCAAATTATCTAAATAGCATAAATAGCTGCTTATTAGGTTATCAGCATTGCCCAGTTCGTATAAGTTACTATTTATTTTTCAAATGAAACTCAAATTAATATAAAACAATCAATTGGTTAAAATAATATATCGGTATGATTTACATAAAATAGTTCATACAGGCAAACTATCAGTTCTATTTCATGTAAAAAATTAAACAACCCCTAAATAAAATACAAAGATAAACAGCATTTGTTAATTATTATTTCTTTTATTGCTGACAATATTCCCGTGGCGGAGCACGGGCGGTTAACTAGTTTAAGTAAAATAATAATTTTAATACAGACATAGAAATCAGCCAAGCTTAATCAATGGCTTAGTACATTTCATACAGATTTTACTTCGCTCATTTAAGTTGAGAGAAAAATTTATGATTTTTTTTTAATAAGGTACAAAAATCTCCCAGCATAACTGACGCTATAACTGCTTTAGACTAGATATTAATAAGCTTTAATCAGTATATTTGTGGATTGCATGAGGTAAGCTGTGTATGGAGGTTTTGAGAAAACAATACACATCATGTAAGTAATACAATTAAGTAAACACTACTTGTTAAGTAAGTGAAGCTTATGTATAATTTATATAAGCTGTGCAAATTCACTTGCGATAAGTAATTCTTGAACCCTTATGGGTTAATACAGTTTGTGTGAAGAAGGACGGAGAAGGGGTAAAGTACATCGCGATAGTTGGCGAGGCCGAGTTATCACTTGGTTTAAAAGAAGGTTGCCAATAGCCATAATCAGTTTGATATGATACTTTGTGTGTGATGCGATACTGGGCTTGTAAACTGAAGTAAACGTAAGTAATTCAGTAAATGATTTGAGATAGAAAATATTTTCGCGCAAACAAAACTATATGTTTATTTAAGTAACATACTGATCATACAAATGTTTCTGTTTTTTTGCATTTAAAAAATAATAACATCACACCAATGCACCATGTAAATAAAAAAAAATTACAAAATGTGTATTTACAAAGCCCCTAAAGTGTCCAACTAATGCCACATCCAATTTCAGCTGTAATATTGGGAGTACAATTTTAAACATATGTTTGTTATGGGCCGAGTATTAGGCTTTCTGCTTCAAAAATATTATACTGTGTTCTGTTACTGATATGTTTGTACCCTAGGTCTTAATGATATTAAGTAGCCTACTTCATTAATAGTACATGTACGGTCTTATTGCCGCAAATTGTTAGAAGCTAAAGGAGTTTTGCTTTATGAAATAGGAAAATATTACCTGTGGGCCATCCCCCATAGGTGACACCCGATCGCCATGTACACAAAAAGCTAGCTACTTATTACCAGTAATGGCATGTCAAATTTGGTTGTGATATCTCTTTTCGTTTTAAAGTTATAAAGTAGTCCTAAGACTTAATTGTCACCCTAGGAAGCATTAATAAATACTTGTTAATTAAATAAAGTGGAATGTGCAAGTATCTAGTTTGTTTCCTATCATGAGCTATCAAATATGTTTTGATTTCCTGCTACCCCAGGGACAGTTATATCATATTAGTTTGAACACGTAGTTGCAAACTTTACGTTTGCAACCAATACTCACTAGTAGAGTTACATCTACATTCTACATTAGAGCTTTCTCCCATAACGTCTGGGTTTCCCAAAGGTATCTGAAATACTACTATCTTATTGTAAATATAACTCCTGACTTCTAACATTGAAGGAAACATTGGAGATTAAATGCTCAGTAACTATCTTAATTGCATTGTCTTAGTGAGATAATACAGCTCAAAGTTATTGTTAGCATAGAGAACATAAATTACAAAATGAATAACACTATCACAGGTTATAAATATTGTTAAAAACAATTTAAGCTACAATCTCGTATGTGTTTGAAACGTACATCAAAAACTTATTTAGAATTTGTCGTGAAGGGCGGAAATGGTAAATCGAGTTCCGCCAGGGAAGATAGGTTCATTTATGATAAGCACGCAAAAGAGGAGAAGAACTCTAAACGCAGACTTAGTAGCTTAAAAGAAGAGAGTTTCTTAAAAGTACAAGTTATCTCCTGTTAGTGTAAAACTTTGAGCTGTATCTCACACTTTTCCCTCATGAGTTTCTTTACAAAGTTGAGAAAAATAGTTAGTAAAACATCCATGCGCGACCCTTTATATTTCTTATATTATACCTACGCCATAAATACGTACATTAATTACTATTCGTATATATATTGATGCATAGTTGGTGTAGAAAAGTACGAATTAGGTAAAGAGAACTGGTCCATGTATAGTGTGGCCTTGATGTAATTTACTTCACTCCCAGTTAGACTGGGATTAGTTTGGATCGTTGTGAAAAAGAAAACTCCTTATAGATATATTATCCTTACGGGCCAGGTAAAGGGCATTTCAATATTGGTTAATCTTGTTTGTGTATAGGGCGTTTTGCTTTTTACTATGAATCTCGTTATTTAACCAGCTACTACAAAAAATTAAACCATAATTTTTCAAAGTAATACTCGTACTGTCGTATTAAAACCAAAGAGTTAAGTGGATATAATAAAATCCGCATAAAAGAATTGTCAACACTAGCGCTCAATCATAAAAATATAAAAATGCTTCAGAATTTAATATAGGACGAAAAGTCTACTTTTAATTTTAAAAGGTCAATGGTCTGGACTCTCACTGTTTATGATTTCTAATGGCAATCCAAAAGAAACCTCCTGTGCAAGGTGTAATCTATTCATGTCAAACACTGCTTGATTCTACCAGCTGTTTTATTGTTTACACAGAATGGCCTTACCGTCGTCGACCCGTGTGGTGCGAGGAGGGCGAGCGTTAGAGACCATATACTGGCACGTGACTTCAGGGAAGGCTGGAGTTAAACTGGTGAAGCACGGGAAAACACTCAAGTTCCCGAAGAAAATGGTCCCTAAAGAACCTAATGTGGCCGAGCAAGCGTTCAAGAAACTCAACTCCAGGCTTTAACTGTAAGTAAACTTGGTATTGTAATCGGTATGGCTGATGGTCAGTGTGAAGGACCAACCTTTATCTTGCAGGTCTGGGCTGCAATTCCGCTTATCACAAACTAAAATACAGGGTGTTTATAAAAAAACTGATCGATTTTAAACAGTCATAGCTCTTTTATTTTTCATCACATTTTTTAAAATTAATGTTAAATTAAAGACAATTTTCTTAAGTTTACGATGACGCATTCACACTATCTTATTTCTACATGTTTTCCATTATTAGCTCTTAAATAATCAAGTCTGTGTTCGAGATCTGCCCAAACTCGCCGCAACATCGGAACATCAATTTCATCAAATGCTTCTCTGATCTTTTGCTTAATTTCTTCCAGGCTGTTGGCTTTGTTGGAGTAAACACGATCTTTTACAAACCCCCAAACAAAAAAATCACATGGGGTAATGTCTGGCGACCTTGGTGGTCAAGGTATGGATCCGTCACGACCAATCTAACGATTTGGGAAATGTTCGTCGAGACAGTCACGAACAAACCGTCTCCAATGAGGTGGAGTGCCATCTAGTTGTAACATCATGTTTGGTTGCTCATTTTCAAACAGTGGAATGGCAAAGTTTTCCAACATATCCACGAAAATGGTACCATTGATATTTCTTTCGGCAAAAAAGAAAGGGCCGAACAATCTGTTGCAAGATAAGGCGCACCAAACATCCACCTTCTCACTATCCCTAGTATGCTCCTGGTGAAAATGAGGATTCTCAGATCCCCATATCCTAACATTGTGTCTGTTCACCTTCCCTGATACATGAAACGTAGCTTCATCAGAATAAAATATCCGGTTTAAGAAGTTATTGTCAGTTTCTAAACGGTCGAGCATTGTAACTGCAAATTCTCTGCGTCTGGCCCAGTCTTGTCGCGTAATCTTTTGAACTATCTGTAACTTATAAGACCGTATAGAGTGGAATGCTTAATATTCAACTCTCGAGCTGCAGATCTTGTTGATTGTCTCGGATTATTAAGAAATGGTTGATGAATTCTTTGAACATTTTCTTCACTTACCCTTGGGCGACCATTGCCTTTTCTGTTATGTATGCTCCCATGGGCCATGAACTTCTCATACCATGCTTTTATCGTGTTCTTTGAAGGAGGATTTCCGTTAAATCTCCTTCTAAATATACGCTGATCAGCAAGAGGAGACTTAGTTTCTATTAACCACTCGACACACTGCGTCTTCACTCGAGGATCCATCGTAAAATGTTACTTATTTGTTTTTGTTTATCACACAACAATGTAAGAAGGTACTGCTAATAAAACAGCTGATTATAAGACTTTTTGAATTTCCCTAACAAATAATGAAAATTAGAGGTCTCTACCTCTAACACGGAATGAGTGAGACAAAGTTAAAATCGATCAGGTTTTTTATAAACACCCTGTATTATGATGGTAATAAGGGACAGTGGTTTGGGATATACATACATATCGGTTTACGTATAGGATAACCTCTAACATGAGAATTTGTCTCAGTTTAGTTATAGGATGATAATTGATTAAGTTTTTTTTTAATTTCAAGCCAGAACACTGTTCATATGTACAATGGTGATATTAGTATTCATTATATATTTACAATACAGTAACTTGTAAGCTGTACCTGCAACTATAGTACTTTTATGAAGTGCCTTATTATTCATGCAGGGACGTCAAAATGGCAATTTGTGTTAGACATGCTTAGTTGGTTATAAATGGTTTTTTTCTATATTTATCATTCCTCAGTTGAATCCATATCTTTCCTCATAAATAAAGTTCGACGTTAGACTGACACTTTCAAGTACAATTTGTATAGGTTATGGGAAACGTAGCCAATGAAAATAAATGCAAGTTTTAACTTGTCAATAAATTTCATACTACTACGTAGTTAAATATAATTTCGTATAGCAAACAACACTATAGTCGTGACCACGTAAGTTTTCAGTTGGTGTCAGCCAATCACAAGACAAGGCTAGTGCGACGTTGCCACACCGCCTGTTGACAACACTATTTAAAATATACAAAGCAATATTTTCAAATCAGCTGTTATTAGATTTGGCAACACCGCACGGTTCTCATTAGTTCATTCAAAACCATATTTTAGTCACTAAAACAAATAGTTTGGATATGTAAATACAATATTACCACACCAAACCATCACTATCAATGTCTACCACTTTTGTATAAAAGTATGTTTTGTGTAATTTCCTTTTAATTTATTCTGTAAAATCTTAATTTTTTATTAGCTTGTTATATGGTGTAAAATAAAAAGGTGGTCAAGATAATCAGCATGTTTGATCCCATTACCAGTAATCATTTACGAGTATTTATTAGTGGATCCCTCCATTATAAAGAAAAATGATAAATATGAAGATAAATTTGTCTATGTGCAGGTACAAATAAAGCTATGAAGTAGAAGTTAGTAAATATATACATATTTACGTTCCCTTTTCCCGAGGAATGCGTAAAATATAGGGTTGGTTTTTCAAATTACTGTAACAAAAGGTGTTCCATATTTTGATGGGTTTTTATCGTAGTAATTTTACTTTCTAAATTGAGTGTACATATCTTAAAAAGACGTGTTTATTTTAGATTACGTTGAATGTAAGAATATGTACTCACCAGAAGTTGAAAATGTAATTATAAAAGATTATTGCAGTGCACAGTTGTATTAAATCATACTACTTGTTGTTCCAGACATGTGCGGGTCTCTGTTCCCATTATCCTCTGCGGAATGGACCCAGGATAGTCAGGGTCAGATAGTGGAATTCAGGTGGTTTTGTCAAGCGGTCAATTAAAATTCTCTGTGATATTTATGTGTATATAAGTGTAAATATTACCCATTTGTTTCTTTTATATTTATGTATATTTCTGTAACACTCAATTTAATAAAGCATTAATTTACTATACTATATAGTCTATTTCGTGCATGGATTCAAATTAGAAATAAAACCAACATTATTAGAAAAGTATAGACAAATGAAGCTACTCTCATGATACTAAAACATGATAGAGGAAAAAATTACATTATGTTTACCACATAAATGCAACATATTAGTCTGTGAAAATAAAACTGCCAAATAATAATAACTACAAATTACATTATTCTTAATAAATTAATAAAATATGTGAGAGGAATAAATGTAACGTTTATCAATTAACAAATTGACTTCCGAGTTTATTTTATGAGAAAAATTACAATACATCCATGATAATATTATTCACTTTTGCGATTGTATAATATATGACAACCTACTTAGTAACGGTTATACAGTTGGTGATATCATTTTCAAGAATTCACATTTACTTTCAACTGAACATTCTTTCAAATAAGGATAGTTATTTCTAGTTAATAATATCATTTTTAACAATTCACATTTACTTTCAACTGAACATTCTTTAAAATAAGGATAGTTATTTCTTATGTTGCTAACTTATATAGTCTATATCAAAGTGCAAGCTGACACTAGTAATTTGTGGTTGACCTTTCTGGTTTTGAATAATCACGCGTTTGTCGCTTGACCTTCTAGCGCGAAACTTTAAAAACAAAACGTCGAATCACACTGACGATGACTGACCAATGTTAGAGTAAACAATTGCAGTTTAGAGGTTATCTAACGGTCTAGAGGGTTCAGCGTCTTTTAAACAATGGAGTGTCTAGAAAAAACTTTACAGAGATACTGAACACGCCACAGCCTCAGTAAAACGTAGAAAGAGTATAACATATTAGTTTACATTATAATGTATTGACATTGTTGTATTTATATTTTTAGTTATTATGTGTCAAGATTGCCACCCAGGAAAAACGGACACTTTTCCTAGTTATATTTATATCGTGTTTATAATTCGTCTTGTAAACATTTGTGCATGGTTAATGCTACAATGTAATTGGCATATGCTGTTTTGTATTATTATTATGAAATTAAATAAACAAATCGACACCTTAGATTATACTTACACATATTTTTAATTAAAAATACTTTCAGATTCATAACTAACCAACCCGAACTGCTAGAGAAAACATATGTGTTAAGTATTTCGCCATCAAAATAATCTTAAAGTTGCAGTGGCAAGCAGTAATAGCAGGATGCTGGCAAAATGCACTTCCACTTTAAAATACATTGCCGAATGGAACAAGGATTTTTAAACGAGCTTAAATACTTAGGAGGTTGTTAACCTAAATTTCTTTACCTTATATCCTCGCACATAACTAACTGTAAATTAATAGGAAATAAAGAAATAGGTTTTATCGTTTAAAAAAGATTTTCCAAACGTTGCCAAATATGAAGGACTTTGATGAATGTTTAGAAAATTAGTGCCAAGTTCTGAGAACCATTTCTAAGTAGTATTTAAGCAACCCGATACTTTAAGCTGTACATGTTTTAGTGACTATAATCTCTGAAAACAGGATGAGAAAAGATGTGTACAGTAAAACGTGATGACCAATATCTTTTGTCAATATAAGATGGAAGAATGGCAGGAAGTCATTTACCGTGACGTCACATAGCTTGGATCACAACTATAAAGGTGGGTTTATTGGGCTGCTTTTACGATATTGGTTCAAAACAAGTATATTGGATTCTCTATTTGGCTTTGATTGTATAAATGTAACAAAACAACATAGTATATTTCATCACTAGGGCCTAAAGTGACTCTTTTTGACCCGAGGTCAAAAAGTAAGCGAGCTTAAAAAAGTAAACTTTTGCCCGTGTGGTGAACTATATTTTCCCGTCATATTGCATTAAAAATTAACAAAAACAAAGCTAGAAAACGAAATAATTTTTATGTAAAGATAACCTCTCAAAACGACATCCAGCTTGTTTTGAATTCTGCTAATAAGCAGCTGTTTAGTAAGTGATTCAGTTTTTTTTGCAATCGTGATACGATTGCCACAATCGAAATTTACAACTGTTTACAACAGCAGATTTTTACTCCCTAGAATCTAAAAATGATTTTTACTCCCTAGAGAGTAAAAATGCTACTTTAGACCCGCAACGCATGCTGAGAAATCGAAAACAATAGGGTAAAAAACCTTACCTAATAAATCAATTGACAAATAATTTCTATCGATACGATTGCCACAATCGAAATTTACAACTGTTTACAACAGCAGATTTTTACTCCCTAGAAACTAAAAATGATTTTTACTCCCTAGAGAGTAAAAATGCTACTTTAGACCCGCAACGCATGCATTAAAAATGGCTGTTTTTGCTGCAGTTTGGCGAAAATAGACTTTTCATACATATCGCTGGTTTATCGAAATATATTTACTACTTTATTTGATCAATGCCCAAGCCCATAAGGACATATAAATACAAACACAGTTACATACACAACGATGTAAAGAGCTTATCATACAGTGTGCCTCAACAGTAACAAATATTCTATTTCAAACTATTTGTATTACCAAGTGACATAGCATGTTTTCTGCAAAGGTTTTATTTTCTACTTTTGACCATTTCAGCTACGAAATATTGTCTTTCAATATGGTTTAATGAAACCTTTATCTTACAATCATCATACGTGCGAAGTAAATATCTGTTCTCCGTAGGTGTACAGAAATTGGAATTTCAACCCTACTACTTCAAATAATTTGGAAATATTTAAAACCATACTATTTGATTTGAGTTAATTTATAATTTTGTACATGATTAAAATAGTTTGAAATTATTGAAAGAACTTGGTGGCTCCCTTGTTATTCAGTGTACCTAGAAGTATTCTTAACAGCTTACGGCCCTCGCCAGACATAGAAGCTGCCTACTCCTAGGTTCCTGATGTTGATTGTGTTGACAAGTCACTACTTTCTACGACCATTGTCTTGTTACTTTGCAAAAGTATTTTATTGTAGGCTTATAATTAGGTCGATTTTACAGGTTTCATCCTTGAAGGTCAAACACTCTGCAAATGCATTAAAAAAATTGTATTTCTATTAATAATGAACAAGTTTAGTAAGGAATTTGTTATTACTGTACCTCGTGCGTTCTACTGGCCTACTAGTCCAGTCATTGAGTAGTGGAGGTTCAACAAAATTGCTTCAAAAGGTTTTTCAACGGATTTCATTACTTTTATACCTCCACACAACACAAAAAAAGTCTACCAAAATCTGACTTGGGGAAGTACCTAAAATTAGGGTATTTAAAAAAAAAATAATTGGTCCAAAACAAATTTCTAAAAAAGTTATTGTTACATATAGTGTGTAGTATATCGTTTTTAATGTTTACAAGGGGGGGAAACTAAATCTGCAACTTAAAATGTGACTTGACCTCATTTTACCCAAAAAATGGCCGACAAACTAGATTCATGGAGAAAAAACTAAAATAAAACTTACCTTTGGATATAGGGTATAGTATATCGAATTCCATGTTTACAAGGGTGGCAAAACCAAAAATGCAACTTAAAATATGATTGTATCTAATTTAAGGTCATAAGATGGAAGTCACCAATATACGCCCCATGAAGGGAAAAGTAAAAAAAAAACTTTCCTTTAGAAATAGGTTGTGGTATGCCGATTTTAACTTTTATGAAGGCCAGTAAACTAAATATGCAACTTAAAATAAGATTTTACACCATGAGACGATGGCGTAAGATGTGATACCGGGGCTCATGGATTATTTTTTATAGGGAATAATAATGGTATTTTAAAATATTAACAAATCGAATTCAATTAACACACGTTTGAAAAGGGAAAAGGGTACTTGGTCCTAACCTTAGTCACTCCTTTTTTTCATACACGCTCTTTGCGGATGTAATACCAAATGGAGACCCTATGGAATAGAAAAACTATCCGTTAGGCCCCTTTTATTCACCGCGGTTGCCCGCCAGCGGGCGCCCGCCGCGGTTTTATAAATGCATGGCCGTAAATGGGTGCTTTTCTTCAAATAGGAGCGGTCTCAGAAGTTGCGGGTACCCGCGGCGGTTTTTAAATTCACCCGCTTGCACTTAGAAACCGCCGGCGGGTAGCGGTTCGTATATGCATTGTGTTATATGGGATCGTTTATTCAACGCGGGTGCCCGCCGTCGCTCTCGCATTGCTACCAACCCAAGTCACCAGTGTCACTCACTACACGTGGTCTAGTCATTCGGCTGTGGGCATTATCTACTACATACTATAGTCTATAGTATGTATAGTTGTTTGGTCGTGTACATAGCTGAACCCCTCACCGTTAAAAACGAATTAATGTCATGTTACGGACATAAAAACAGATTTGTTCTGAACTTATCTATAATAAAAAACATTTAGATTAAACACCACTCTGGTACTATTTGAAACTTTTACAAAGGATTTCTTTTGCTAGATTGTGTTTTTTGCTAGATTTCAGGCTTAAATAGCAGCCGTTGAAGTGAATCGATGACAGTTCTCAGTTGTAAACACTTGTGTTAGACTGGTTAGATTGAAGGAGTATACATTAAAAAACAAAGGTTTTAAAAAACAAGGGTTGTCAGCACTGTTACACTATCCACGTGACAGCGGTCGATCGCAGGTGACACATTGGTGCAGCGGTCGCCCGCGGCGGGTGCCCGCTGGCGGGCAACCGCGGTGAATAAAAGGGGCCTTATGAAACAATATCATGATCTCAAGGAATTCACTGAATTGTTCATGATTGCGTATGTCAAGCGTAGGCAAATTGTGTTGTCTGGTAAAAAGGCCATTGCAACCATACACGGTTGCAAGAATGTGTCAGATTTGAATTGTGAACGTGCTTCAAAGTTCACAAAGGTATCCTCAAGTGCCAGCTATATGCCCCCTGGACGGATACCACCAACAAAAGATGCTGCGAGATTTTATAGCCAACGGGTTTACCTTCAAGTGCAGTCATGGCTAGGCATCAAGCGACTGATGCGACATAGTGGGTCTGGGTTTTATGCAACACAGCTAACGAGTCCATTTTGAAGCCACACAGAATAGATCAGC